TTTTTATTAATAGTATTCTTAAATGTTTTGCATTATGCATTTGTCCACTTTTGTCAGTGATAACTTGAGCAAATGTGCCTTGATTTATTTTTGTATCAGAAACTTTATTGTCTGTCTGTATGTTGTTGACAGTCGGTTTGGGATTAGCAGCTGCGTTTTATCATTTTGAGAGGGCAAAACTGTGTACAAACAGGGATTTCTCTGGAAATGTTTCTTACTCTGTATTGGTTTTAGCAAAGAAATATTTGCTCAATAAATGACTTTCTGTCTCAGCTGTATTATGTTGCTCTTTCACGACTGATCAGGCACATCTCCGGACAGCCCACATGCAGCACAAAGTCCCTCAACATCATCAGTCTGTTACGAAGCTACGAGAATACTTTTTTGCTCAAAGAAAACAAAAATAACGACTTTATTCCACATTTTCATCTCTACTGCGCCACTTGTGGACGCGCTTTCACGACAGTGGAATAAAGTCGTTATTTTTGTTTTCTTTGAGCAAAAAAGTATTCTCGTAGCTTCATAACTTTACAGTTGAACCACTGATGTCACACGGACTACTTTGTCGATCATCGTGGTACTTTTCTGGACCTTGAACGTGGTAGTTACCTTGCTGTCTATGGGAGGGTCAGAGAGCCCTCAGATTTCATCAAAAATATCTTAAATTGTGTTCCGAAGACGAACGAAGGACTTACGGGTTTCGAACAACACGAGAGTGAGTAATTAATGACAGAATTTAGATTTTTGGGTGAACAAACCCTTTAAGAGCATTGCAACTTCTAGCTAAATAACACAGTGGAGATCAACCAGAGCTTGTTTTTATGTGGAATTTAACATTCCCAGAAATTGCATAACCCCCAGACAGCAAAATACAAATACAAAAGTTGCAAAACTTTGTGCAAAATATGCATCAGTAGGTGTGAGATCCATCAAAATATAAATAAATATATAAAACACTGACTGATCCAAGTAATGCAAGCCATTCTTAACCAATTCCTTGCCTCTGGCGCCATCTACTGGTAAAAATGACTATGACAGCCGAATAATGTGCAGTGCAAAAGGTGCAAGGACTAAATGTATGCAGCATACTGTATTTGCACTCACTACAGTAAGATATTGTTTGTATTACATTGTAGAAAATACTATAGAAATTATGTTTTCGAACTAAAACGTTTGGGAAAAATCATTCATACAAACACCATTTGGTGATACTTTAAGAAACTAGTAACTTTTTATGCTAATTAAGAAACTTTTCTTATATTAAAAAAAATATATATATGTATATGATTTTTACATTTAAATTTTTTTTTAATATTAGTAGTAGTAGTAGTAGTAATAATCATAATTATTATATAATCATTTTGAAAAATCCACCTAATCTTCCATCCTGCTGAAATTCATCATGTCTAACAATAATAACAATAATCTCTTCATATCCTGACATCCACAGTTATATGCTTCAATGTATGAGCTTCATATTCTGACAGCTGCTCCTAACAACAAAGATGAGATGAATCATCATAATCAAATAATAATAATGAACTTTTTAAGGTTCAAAAGAGGAAGAAACTGTTTAAAAGCGCTCCTAAAGAAACAAGTAGTAAGGCTGGATTTGAAGTGGATTTTGGAGAGAACCAGTAAACAACGTTTCAGTTCAGCCTCCGTCTCATTAGCAAGAGCTCCAGACACACAAAAGAGTTCAGCTTCACTTCACCAGAACAAAACACAGGAATCTGACAGGAGAGCAGCGACACAAGTTCATCCTGCAGCTACAGCAGACACATGAAGCATCATGTTAGAATATGATTTAGCTGATGTACAGACATTTATATTGTAACAAAATGACAATTAAATGAAAACATATTATAGATTCACTTTATATTGAATACAATCAGCTGAACGTAGGCTATTGACCCACTTAAGCATACACATCTTTACATATAATTTCAATTTCAGCATATGGTAAACTAAAATATACTTTAATGTAATTTCTATTAAAATATGTTTGTCATTATGTAATTGCACTTTCATAGTGATGAATTTGCAGTTTAGTACATTTAAAGTATATTAAGTATATTCTCAAACACACTATAGTTTACATGTGCTTTAGTATGTTGGTCAAACTTTTATTTGACAGAACTACAAATTGCTCTTTTTAAACATAGTCATAAAAGTGTCTCTTTTTAAGTACACTTAAGTGGTCTTTTATTTCATTAATATTGTATTATCTGCAAGTACAGTTTTTTTTTTAAATATACTGTACTTTTAAGATTTGAAGCACACCAGTGTGTATTCGATACAATTAAGCACACTTCTTTTTCATATAGATTGCAGTATGATTTATGGGCTGTTGTGTTGAATATTAAGTTTTTAAATTCATACAAAGCAGAATATTATTTACTCTTCACCATAAATGTGATTTGTTGCTTCATCTTAAAACAAACATGGTTTAACTCTGTAGGTATCGTCTTAAATCATGAATTTACATTAATATATGAACAGACATTTTTGTGACTTGATGAAGAAAAACAAAGGATTGGCTGAATTGGGAGAATTATATACTTCTACTGTTTCTGCCATATTATTAGTAATTGTTCACCAGTATTCCTAAAAAAAAATGATGTTTTGTTTGAAAAATAAAGATGAAGAAACACTTGAGAGCATTTTTTAATAAACTGTCATTTTTCTTTGTAGAATTTCCTAATTTAGGTTATTAAAAAACGTTTGTTTCTAAAACATTGAAACATCCAGTTTTCTTGTCTTGTCTTTGAAGGTTACAAAAATGTTTCACAATGTCCGTCAAGTACAAATAACTTCATAAGGACGTTCTGAGAATGTTGATCTCAGAATGTTTTTTCCTCAGTGTTATGGGAATGCCATAAGAACATTCCGTAAACATGACTTTAAGAACATTTTGTCCTAACATTCATATAACTTTTAAAAAACGTTAGTGAAAGTTAGCTGGGTTAGTGCAGTAGCTACTGGGGAAAATGCCCAAATGAACATTCACTCAAACCAACGCAGTGAAATGATTTAAAATGTGAGTTTCCTAGATGTGTTAATGATCAGAGCAGGTGTCACGCATGGAATGATGCATGTAACTGCAGGAAAATGTCATGTCAACAACACTAACCCTGACACTTGCCCTGCGTTAAGTGAGTGTCATCCGTAATGCGAGGCATGCTGGGCATGTGATCAGAGGTGAAAGTGTGATTGCATCGATGGACTGTCTGCATCTTATCACACTCTCATCATGTGAACCTCCTCCATTATCTGATACTCTAATACTTTCTACTGCATGTGTCATGTTCAGCAATGTGAGCATACAGTTCGGGCTTATATTACTCAATAGAACGGGAACATGTAAAGGAATGGAACTCAACCCCACAGACTGATGCAATAATTTATTAGGGGTGAATTTACCCAGAGGGGACGTCTGTTAGACAAAAACTAGGGCATGGGATCTAGGCCCCTATAATTGTCCCTTCCTTTTGTCTTCACTTTAGAGCCCTGTATACCATGGTACTGTGCAGTTAACATATTTATACCATGGTATTTACAAGCTATTCTAAGGTGTTACTATAGCCTATATTGTCCAAAAACATACTAACACCACAGTTTTTTTCATTGTTTGTTATAGTTGTCTTGTTTATGCTGTTGGCTGCTCTACTCATGTCCAAAAACATGCTAATACCACAGTTTTTTTTTTTTTTAAAGTTTGTCTTGTTTATGCTGATGACTGTTATGCTGTCTCATGCCCTGTTGAAAAAACCAACATTTGCTGGTTAGGTATGTTTTGCCACTGGGATGCTGGTTTATGCTGGTCCTTTGCTGGTTTAAGTTGGTCCTTTGCTGGTTTATGCTGGTCCTTTGCTGGTTTAAGCTGGTCCTTTGCTGGTTTAAGCTGGCCCTTTGCTGGTTTAAGCTGGTCCTTTGCTGGTTTAATGCTAACTGTGATATTAGTATGTCTTTGGACATGATATATTAGCATAAACAAGACAAATTTAACAAATATAATCAAACACTCTTGTATTAGCATGTTTTGGACATGAAAAAAAACTGTGAATTTTGATTGTTAGATCTTGTTTATCTTTTCCTAATAGCCTGTATCGTGTCCAAAACACGCTAAAACCACAGTTTTTGTTATATTTGTCTCGTCTGTTTTAATGTGTCATATGAAAAAACATGCTAATGCCACAGTTTTTGATTATGTTTGTTAGATTTGTCTTGTTTATGCTGTCTGTTCTAATATATCATGTCCAAAACATGCTACTACCACAGTTTTAAAAAAAATCATATTTGTTTTGTTTATGCTGACTGTTATAAAATCTTGTGTATTCTTAGCTGCGGCGCTGTACTTTCATGGAAAACTCATCAAATCAGTTTAAAGGGAGTGGAAACAGAATACTAACAGATAAGTTTGCTTCTTTTCTTATAGAATTTATATAAGAATTATGTCTATTTGTACTGTATTTAATACAGTTGATGGAAAGCTTTGTCCGATTCGCAAGAGAACCGGTTCCTTTTAAAGCATCGGTTGAAATGAATCGCAAATTGCGCCCCTCAGAAACGAACTCGTTAGTTATCATTAGATCTTTTTCAGATTATGAATTTATTATAAATAAGCTTAATTATTGCTACTGGTTAACAATATGAACAAGCTGTATGACGCAAAGACTATATTTAGTGGATGTGAATCCCGTATGTATTTTTTCTTGTATAAAAACAATCAACCTAAATTGAGATTAAAAAAACAATGTTTTATATGACATAACGACAAACCTAATTACAACCAAACACTAAAAAACCGACACCATTTCTATCTATCTTAGCGCACGTTTGTGTGAGATGAAACAATAATTGAATCAGCCGTCAAAGAGCCGTTCAGAAGAACCGATTCACCTAAACGACTCGGACTTCCGAGCATCATCTCCTGGACCAATAGGCGTCTCGACACACCCACAGACAGACACCAGTCTCTCACTTTTATCACGAACCTCAGTATTTATTCTCCACATTCATCTGAAGGATTCGGTTCTTCCGTTTTATTTTAATTGGATATTTAATTCTAAATTAAATCAACGCAACGCTACCAAGGGCAGGCTACAGCGAATGTCGCTTGAAGATTATTTTAATATTTTTTAGTGTCGTGTTTTTTTTTTTTTGCACGGCGATTCAAGATTCTGGATGCAAATTTCCATAGGAATTAATTTGCATAAAATCCTCTGATCAGAACTGCACGCACCATCATCATCATCATCCTCATCATCCAGCGGAGGACATAAACAGGTATCAGACATTTCCCTGGACTCAGGATTTGTTGATTTGTTATGCATGATGTTATGAATGTGTCTCGTGACTCTAAACGTGCTGAAGAGTGTTTATTTCTCGTAAAGCAAGGTCTCCTTGTTTAAGCTGATATCAGCAGTCATCTGTCGGTCAGGTGAGTTTCAGGCAGGTGTGCCAGATAACTGACATTACGTGTGCAAAGATATCCATCATATCTGACCTTTCTCATGGTACATCAGATACATGTGTTTGTGTTTTCTTTAGCATATCTCATTGTCTAATAGAGGTTTTCAAACTGGGGTTAAAATGTCATTTTATTGTTTTATTGATTGATTGATTGATTGCAAAATGTTTATAGGGCTGTCAAAGTTAATGTGTGCTCTTAAAATATTATTGAAATAGGTTTTAACATATGTTTTTACGTTTACATTAACAGTTCACAAAATGTAATATTCATATTAATAATCAGTTTTTCTTAAGTAAAAATCTTTGTTGAAAAAAATACATTTAAGGAATTCTTAATCTCAAATTCATTTAAAAATGTAAATATTTTCCAGAGGATATTTTTCACCCTGGTTTATATTATATAATATTTCTAATATATATATATATATATATATTTTTTTTTTTTTAAATTTGTATAATAAAAGCCAACTATTTGATTTAATTGTCTTAATAATATTACATTTAATTATTTCCTCACCCAGTATAAATGCATTTTCACTTATAAAAATATACAGCTGCCTTTATATTTATGAAGGGGGTCTCTCACAATTATTTAGGGGTCTTATGTACTATTTGATATATGCAAAAATCGGCATTTAAAATACTGTAGACTATACAAACAAAAACTGTGTGAAACATCAGTTTGCCTGTTGAGGGTCTTATTGTAAAGATTTATATACTAATATATATAATAATTCAATTATTTCAGAAGATTGGAGCCTGAAAATACTCCCCAATCTCTGTAAAATTATTTAAACATTTTTAAAAATCCTTATCCAGCAATCCTGAATGTTTGGAAAGGTCATGGAAAGACATGGAAATCCATTGGTCAGGACTAAAGTGTGGGAACAGTATGTGGTCCTTAAACATGGTAATCGCTGGTGCAGTCATCTGAAAGCATCACTGTACCGTAGTATCAGCGCAGTGCTGTTTGTTATGCTCAGTTTTGCCATTAAAGGAATAGTTCACCTTTATTTGCTGGTCCCCATTGACTTGCATAGTGTTTTTTTTCATACTATGAAAGTCAATGGGGACCAGCAACTGGAGGTGAAATATCCCTTTAATTGAGTACATTCCTAGTAATTGAAATGCTGCATAATTATTTGTATTTTTTTGCCTCAGTTCCCCCGGCTGAAGGATGGAGCAGCTCAGTCAGTGGCTCTGGAAGCAGGAATACTGGCTTCCTCCGGGAATCCGCTGGGAGGATCTGGAGAAGATGGAGGGCTCTCTGCGTCCTCTCCCGCGGGATCTGCTCCTGGCTCTGCCTCTAGCTCTGGGATTCATCATGCTTCGTTACGCTTTTGAGAGGTGACTGATGACTTTATCAAGTCCTGAGGGCTTTAACTTTAATTTAACCAGGTTTGACCTGAATTAATAACAGAATATGAGTTAAATTAGAAAAAGTACCACAGTATCACTGCATTTTTTTGGACATTCTTTGAGCTGGGATGTGATTCTTTTGAGAGGTGACTGATGACTTTATCAAGTCCTGAGGGCTTTAAATTTAATTTAACCAGGTTTGACCTGAATTAATAACAGAATATGAGTTAAATTAGAAAAAGTACCACAGTATCACTGCATTTTTTTGGACATTCTTTGAGCTGGGATGTGATTCTCCCCCCCCCCATATTTTTATGCATTTCCATATTTTGACCCATTATTATTAAAAATAATAATAATACATTTTTATATTTTAAAGTACAATATTATTATTCCAATACAAATATATTTTCTATTGACGTGTTTAATTTTTTAAAATAATTAAATAATTAAAATAATAAAAATGATTATTTAATAAAAATGTAAATAATAAAATTATTATGTTCAATAATAATAATAAAACTAATAATAATAATGAATGTCAATTATTGTTACTATTAAATGCCAATTTTTATTTTACAGTACAATATTATTATTGTAAGAGTAATGTTTCTTTGATTTGTTCCATTTTAAAATAATAATACAATACAAATATTATCTGAATAATAACAATAATAATAATAATAAATTCACTGTTGTTATTATTAATTTAATATTAATTTATTTTTTATTTCACAGTACAAAATTACTATTGGAATAGCAATATATTTCTTTATTGATTTGTTTGATTTTATATTTTAAATAATAAACAAAAATATTTTGAATAATAATAACAATAATTATAGTTAATATATTATTATTATTATTATTATTATTATTGTATTGTTAGATTTCCTTAGGTTTTGTCCTTGAATACCTGAATCTGTGATGATCTGAATTATCACACTATATATCAAAATACCCTGGTTTGCCATCTGACACCATTACTAAATAAAATAAAATAAAATAATTTGTTAGCAGGACAATTTGTGCAACATGCTTAAAAATGGCTCAAAACGTCACCTGTGGCTAGAACATGAAATAAACATTTTTGCATATTTGGAGCTGTGGTGTGCCGACCTTTCTTTTTTCTTATTGTTTTTAATAGTTGAGCACCCTCATTTAGTTGTTTTTTTTGCCCATCAGATGTGCATATTTAAAAAAAAAAAAAATTGTGCCACATGCTTAAAACCATTAAAAAAAATGCAACACTAACTAGTGCGTGGTATTTTGGGACGTACTGCTAACAAAGCTGTTTGTTAGTTTAACTGATTCCACTAGTCTCTCTCATGCATGTGTGCTTGAATGTTTAGTATGCATACCTGAATCTGCTGTATCTACGCATGCAATCAGTCTCTTTGTATAGTATTGTGCGTTTGGCGTCTGCTGTGGTGTAACTTCTTTGTGCGTGACGGCGTGACTAGCAGGTGTGTGTTTCTGTGTGTTCACACACTTGTGTGAGTGTGTGTGAGTGTGCAAGAGTGTGTGTATGTGAGTGTGTGTATGTGAGTGAGATGAGTGTGTGAGTGTGTGTATGTGTGTGTGTGTGTATGTCGGTTGCTACAGTAACTGATCTCTATAGCAACACAAAGAGCCTGTCATGTCAGCTGATGCTGCAACCCCTTTCACCCACGATTGATCCTGGATCATGTTTCCACGTCTAATTAAAGTCCAACCAGTGCAAACATATTCATATACAATAAGAGTGTTTGTATAGGTAATATTACACATTAAACAACAATCATAATTGCATTAAATGTACAAGCTCCTCCTGAGTGACCTGTGAGCAATGCATGCTCTTCTGATTTTCTGTGAATAAAGGTCTCATTTAGTAACAAAAAGACATTGATGAAACGCATGTTGTGTCCTGAATCCTGAATTTTCTGTCTCTCTCTCTCTCTCTCTCTCTCTCTCTCTCTCTCATGCAGACGTCTGGCGTTCCCTCTCAGCAGAGTTTTAGGAGTGAAAGATCGAGTTTGTTTGAAAGTCACTCCTGTCCCAAATTTGGAGGCATTTTACACTAAAAACAGCAGACAGCCGACGCAGGTTAGTACACACACACCTAGCAATCTAATGAGAACATACCATAGACTTTGAGTATATATTGTTTTATATTATATTATATTATATTATATTTATTTATTTATTTAAAATATATTATTATTATTATTATTATTATTATATGCCATTTGTTGGCATCAGCAAATGAAAAACATTTTTGGCCCAGTGTTGTTATAGTTAACTAAAACTAAACTATTAAAAATAATTTTCAATAATTTAAATAAAGGTAAATATTAGATGAAAAACTTAATGAGAATTAGAAATTTGCCTTGGAAATGAACTGAAATAAGTTGAAGTTGAAGTGATACAAATAAATAAAAAAGCAATTATTAAACCTAAAACTGAAATAGAAATAAATTAAAGCTAAATTGAAATGTATAAAATAATAAAAATGACAAAAGCACATAAAAAAAGGACTAAAACTAGCTAAAATTAAAATCAAACTGAAATAAAAATAAATAAAAGCTACAGTGAAATATATAAAAATAATAAAATTGACAAAAGCACATTAAATTATTAAAACTAACTCAAATTAAATGAAAACTGAATAAAAATAAATAAAAATATTAATAAATACTATAATATAATAATAATACTATAAACAACTATACTATGTATATATAATAATAGTATAAAAGTGTATAAATAATGCTAAAATAAAACCCATCATTTGGCCCCATCTATTAGAATTTAAGAATAATTTTTCCCTTTGAACACATCCACAAATATCTGGGGCCAGATTTGTCCCTGAAGTAAACTCACACCTGCACCTGCACCTGCACCTGCACCCGTACAAACACACATTAAACACGTATGAATCTGCATACATTTATGCAAACATACACTGAGAGATCATTCTCCAACAGTCGTTGTTTTGCATCTTACTCTCCTGGAAAATACCCATAATGCTTTGCAAATGAGTGTGTGGATGTCTAACCACATACGGGAAGAGAGCGAGTGCGATTTTAACAGACATACTGGAAACCCAGAAGTCTGTAATTGTTCTGGATCGTTACTGCTCCCTGATTAATGAAACTTGATTCAAATGCAAAAAAAATGCATTGCAGGATGACACTGAATAAATGGTACAGGTGATCTAATCGAACTGGTTATTCAAGTCAAAAATATGATTTAATATGCCTCAATCAGCCCAAATACATAAAAGTCCGTTTTTATAGGTGAGCTCTAAAATCTACTTCATCTGAAATTAATTCAGTTCATATGAAGCCTATAAAGGCACTAAGGAAAGGAAATATGCATGTATATTTCATACTGCAGGAGGAAGCCACACAACAGTGAGTTGTGAGGAACCCGATAGTGTTGACATTTCTTTCGGACGTGGAACCATTGTGTCCCTGCTGAACTCTTTCTGGAGTTCATTTCATTATTTGAATGTCCTCGTTTTTCTTGGCAGATGAATTTCTGGTTATAATTGACAATTTATATGGATGAGTTTGCTCGATTTAAATAGGCTTTACAGATAGTAATGAATCTTACTGGTATTCTCGTGTATCAAGATTTTGGTTCTCATACGCAATTCCATAATAATTCATAATAATTTTTACATAACTGAAAAAGGTGTAGGCTGAAGAAGAAGCTTATTTTAACTTTTTATTTTATTCATTAAATTCTATATTTATGGCCAATGGAAAAAGAAATATTTTGGCACAGTGTTGTTATTGTTAACTAAAACTATTAATAATCGAAATAAAGCTAAATATTAGATGTAAAACATAATAAAATCAGAAATGTTGCCTTGGTAACGGAATTAAATAAGTATAAGTTGAAAAAAAAACAATTATTAAAACTTATACTGAAATAAAAATACATTATTATTATATTTAAAAATAATATAACAAACAAAACATAACAAAATGACTAAAACTACCTCAAATTAAAATGAAAACTGAATAAACATAACAGAAAAGGGTTTAGGCTGAAGCTTATTCTTTCAATGCAGCACTTTTACTATTACATTGAATCTTTACAAAAGAAATCAAAACAAAACAGTTACCTAAGTCAAAAATAAGTCATAACATTTTTATGCAGCTCACCTTTTACACCTTTTATAAATTAATACAATTGTTTCATATGTTTCATATACAAATTGTTCATTCATATATTTTTTAATATATAAATATTTGATGATTAAATTAATACTTTAATTAAATGATCAATAATAGTAATAATAATATTTAAATTTAATTAATAATGTATTTATATTATTGTAGATTTATAGTAATTATTAATAAATAATTTAATAATTTAATATTTTTATTAACTACTTTAATGATATAATAATTTAATTATATAATTTTTCAGTTGTGTATATATTTTTCGCTGTATTTTTAAATGTGTGTGTTTGTGTTTTTATGTGTCTTCGTAATGAGGATTCTTGGGAAAAGAATAGTTAAGAAACTAGTAAAAACATGTAAAGTGGCAGATTATTTTCTTAACATGGTCAGGCATGAGTGAGTAGTAGTCTGTGGTAATCACTATCACAGATGCCATCAATACCTATTGTATTTAACCTGGAATATTATTGCTCATTGTCAAATAATAACTCATGCTGTTGCATTATTCCATCTAGAGTGAGATCTCCAGCCTGGTAAACCAGTGCAACCTGACTCACAGACAAGTTGAGACCTGGTTTCGTTACCGCAGAAACCAGGACAGACCCAGCAACAGTAAGAAGTTTTGCGAGGCCAGGTAAGTTCAGCTCAGGTATCTGCTTTTGATAATATCACAATCATAGCTGCACAGATAACTGATCACACGGCGCTGCATCATATCTGCTGAATGAAGTCCAGTACTAATTGTGTGCTGCTGGTTCCAAAAATAGTGTCTGTTTTGCTGGAGCACGTCACACTTTCACACAAAATATGTGCATTTTGTCTCATATTTGCTTTCGACAAGCATTTGTGCAGTGAAGAAGTCTCGTATTCTCCCTCAATCAGCAGAAAAACACCACAAACACACGATTCCTGTCTGAATCTGAGCCAGATCACAACTATCTGTTCAATTCTCAGCCATTTTCACATATATGACATTATTTGATGCCTAATCCTGATTGCAGGGTCAGAATTATGGCTAGTGACAGAAGAAAATGCAAACATGAGCAGATGCATCTGTAGGCGTTTTGCTGCATCCAAACAGACAATTACAGATTTTGTGGAAAATAAGCTTTATTTTGCTTACTTTGTAAAGTGTAAATTGCATCAAATGCATATTAAATGCAGATTGTAAGTTAAATGATGCGTTTTTTGTCATTAAAGCTGAAACTTTTGACATTTGACTGCTTTTTTTATTTTGATAAGTGCATAAAGCTTATTTCAAATATATATATATATAAATATTTGAAATTTGAAAAACCTTCATTCTTATTTTGTTTAAAAAAATAATAATATATATATATATATATATATACATGATGGAACGTTTTTATTGATATTTTTGATTCCAGAACCAAATTAGGTTATATCAGGTCTTTTTAAAAATCAACCAATCAAATCACTTCATTATCACATCACCATACACATATATCTGCAAATATTGAAATGGAGTAAAATATATCCTAATGTTTACATTAATTATGAATGTGAATGTCCGTTTTTCTCGTAAGTATTATTACCATTTTAAATCCCCTTGAATCTTTTTAATATTTTTTGTAAAAACAAATATTTCATGTAGCCTCTCACTTAATGTGAGCTTGTGAAATGAAATTATAAAATAACTCCATTTTAATTATTATAAAACATTTACGTAGTTATTATATTAATTATAAAATAACTCCATTTGAATTATTATAAAACATTTACGTAGTTATATTAATTATAAAATAACTCCATTTTAATTATTATACAACATTTACCTAGTTATTATATTAATTATAAAATAGCTCCATTTTAATTATAAAACATTTACGTAGTTATTATATTAATTATAAAATAACTCAATTTTAATTATTATACAACATTTATATAGTTATTATATTATTATATTAATGATAGTTTTAGATGAAGTTCAGCATTAATATGTATATAAAAAAAATGCCTTTTGACATTTCACTGCTTTTGTTATTTTGATAAGTGCATGAAAGCTGATACTGTACATATAATTTGAAAAACCTCAATTCTTATTTTCTGAAAAAAACTGTCCTTGGTGGAAAGATTTTATTGATATTTTTGAGCTGTGTTTCGTAGCATAGTAACTTCATATCTTTTGTTTCCCCAGCTGGAGGTTTGTGTTCTACCTGCTTGCTTTCAGCGCGGGATTCGCGTCTTTAATTAACGTGGGTCGACATTTGAACTTTTATTCCCTCGTGAACCCAAGTGTGTCTTGGGGTTGGTGTCTTTTGAGTCATCCCCTAGTTAAAGGCTGGTTTAGTCAGTAGCCTTAAATGCTTTAAAGCATTTTTTGAACAAGCTTGAGCTTTGTTGTTGTGAATGCACACGGTTCTTCTGAAAAAAACTGTCCTTGGTGGAAAGATTTTATTGATATTTTTGAGCTGTGTTTCGTAGCATAGTAACTTCATATCTTTTGTTTCCCCAGCTGGAGGTTTGTGTTCTACCTGCTTGCTTTCAGCGCGGGATTCGCGTCTTTAATTAACGTGGGTCGACATTTGAACTTTTATTCCCTCGTGAACCCAAGTGTGTCTTGGGGTTGGTGTCTTTTGAGTCATCCCCTAGTTAAAGGCTGGTTTAGTCAGAAGCCTTAAATGCTTTAAAGCATTTTTTGAACAAGCTTGAGCTTTGTTGTTGTGAATGTTTTTCTGAATGACTGGTTTTCATTCCCCAGCTGGAGGTTTGTGTTCTACCTGCTTGCTTTCAGCGCGGGATTCGCGTCTTTAATTAACGTGGGTCGACATTTGAACTTTTATTCCCTCGTGAACCCAAGTGTGTCTTGGGGTTGGTGTCTTTTGAGTCATCCCCTAGTTAAAGGCTGGTTTAGTCAGTAGCCTTAAATGCTTTAAAGCATTTTTTGAACAAGCTTGAGCTTTGTTGTTGTGAATGCACACGGTTCTAATGTTTTTCTGAATGACTGGTTTTCACTGCATGACTGGGTCTTTTGTTGTTAAAAGAAGTAGTTTTGTTGTCTGTGTTTGGTTTTAATGGTGGTTGTGTGAAAGTGACCGCAGTGTTCTCTTCCTCATAGACGCCCTGGTTCTGGGATCAGAGAGAGTGCTGGAGAGGGTTTCCTCAACAGGTGAGCTCACCTGTCTGAACTACACACGCACTATTCAATGTACATCTGGCATACAGACACTCCATGTGACAAGATTCTTAAGTTTTGTTTTATTTTTTGAAAGAAATTAATGCCTTTGTTAATCAAGGATGCATTAAATTGATCAAAAGTGACAGTAAAGACATTTCTAATGTTACGAAAGATTTCTGTTTCTAATAAATGCTGTTCTTTTGAACTCTGTTCATCTGTGAATCCTAAAAAATAAAATATATCACGGTTTCCACAAAAATATGAAGCAGCACAGCTGTTTTCAACATTGATAATAATCAGAAATGTTTCTCGAGCAGCAAATCAGCATATTTGTTACGGGGCTGACGTGACGTGAGACGTGTGGATCCATCTGCAAGCTTTTATTTAAGAGACGTGGTCATAACAGGCAGGGTCGAACAATGGCAAACAGGTATATGGCGGGCAAAACACAAGAATAGTCCTAGGGCTAGCGTAGGTCAACGATTGGCAGACAGAATCACAGGGGCACGATTAGAGGGATAAATCCAGGAAAACAGGCAGAGATCAGAAACTGAGAAAACAAGCAAGGCAAGGCAAAACAAGGAAACACGGGCAGGAAAACAGAAACTAGGAATAATAACCGGCTAAGCAATACTCGGCAGAGAATGGTTGTTTGAGTGAGTGTTATATAGTGAGTGAGTGATATGAAACAGCTGTGTGCAATCAGTGCGGTGTGCAATCAGTGCAATGAATGATGGGATATGTAGTCCGGGGTGCTATGCAACAGTGTGTAAGTGCGAGAGTCAATGAAAATGGAAAGGGTGACCTCTGGTGGTGATTGAACGGAAGTCCATGGACAGGATTCGTGACAGAGCCCCCCCCTCCCCCCCCAAGGAGCGGCTTCCAGACGCTCCAAACACTATACAATCCAGGTGGGCGGTGGAGGAACAGGGGGAGGGACAGAGGGCCAGATCCAAGGATAGGAGAGACCAGGGACTGAGGCAGAGCCGGCGGAGCAGGGAGCCAGGGTGGAGCCGGCAGTACAGATGGAGCTGAGGACCACCATAGCAGAGGAGACGGGACCGAAGATCCCCACGGTGGAGTAGAAGACCACCAGAGCCAGACAGTAGACCACCACGGCGGAGCAGAAGACCACCACAGCAGAGCAGAAGACCACCACGGCGAAGCAGAGGACCACCAGAGTCAGACAGTAGACCACCACGGCAGAGCAGAAGACCACCACGGCGGAGCAGAGGACCACCAGAGCCAGACA